GCCGCGGGGCACAGGGCGGGGCCGGGGTCCTACCCGGGAAGCTCTCACACAGCGCCTCGATGGGCGTGGCGCGCTTGGTGTCCCCGATCTTCTGGTAGCGCTCCTTCAGCGTGTCGGCCTGCGGGGAGGCGGGGTCAGGGTCCGGCCCCTCCCCGCGCCCGCCCCGCCCGGGAGGCCCCGCCCACCTTGAGCCCCTGCCAGGGCAGGCTGCCGCGCAGGAAGTACATGAACATGTGTCCCAGCGCCTCCAGGTCGTCCCGGCGGCTCTGCTCTGCGGGGACAGCGCGGGCTCAGCACCGCCCCGCCCCCTCCCCTCCCCTCCCTGCCCCCTCCCCCGGTCCCCTCCCCCCTCCCCCGGGTGCTCACCCTTGCCCAGGTGCGTGTTGATGCTCATGTAGCGCGCCGTGCCCGTCAGGCTCTTGTGCTCGCGGTACGGGATGTGCTTCTTGGTCTCGGGGTCGATGTACTCCTTGGCCAGCCCGAAGTCGATGATGTGGATGGCGTGCTGCCGTTTGCTGCCCGGCCGCCCCACCAGGAAGTTCTCGGGCTTCACATCGCGGTAGATGAGGCTCTTGGTGTGCACGTACTCCATGCGCGTGATCTGCGGGACGGTGGGGTTCAGGGCCCGGCCCCCGCCCCAGGCCCCGCCCCGCCCGCCAGCCCCGCCCCTCCGCACCAGCTGGATGGCGATCATCAGCACCGTCTTCAGGGTGAAGGTGCGGTCGCACAGGTCGAACAGGTCCTCCAGGCTGGGCCCCAGCAGCTCCAGCACCATGGCGTTATACTTCCCGCATGGGCCGAAGTAGTAGACCTGAGGGACGCCCTCTGCGGAGGAGCAGACACGCGTGCTGGACGCCTGACGCCCCTGCCCGCCCCACGCCCGCGGCCGCCTCCCCGGGTGCCACCCCGCGCCCGCCCGCTCACCTGCCGTGCTCAGCTGCTTGTAGAAGCGGTACTCCAGGTGCAGCTGCGGGGCCCGGGACTTGATGGGCTCCTGCGGGACAGGGACTGTTACCCAGGCCCTCCTCCCGCTCTGGGGTGTGCGGGGCAGGGCGGGGCGGGGCGGACTCACCAGCTTGATAGCCACGTACTCGTTCGTGTACAGGTTCTTTCCTGGGGAGGGGCGACAGAGCGTCAGGACTGTGGGCTACTGAGCCCCCACCCAGACCCCAGGATGCGCTCTCCAACATTCCACAGCAGCTGGAGGCACCCTGCCAGCTGCCCAGGAACCCCCCTCACCGCGTGCATGCAGTCATGGGAAGAGGTTTCCCTTGGGGCCCAGCAGGTCATGACAGAACCCCCCTCACATTGGAGGCACCCCACAAAACCACACACACTACCAATATGGCTGGCTGAGTGGAGGTGGTGCTGGCTCCCCACGCTGCTGCTGATCCCACCCCGGGGACTCCAGCAGTGGGACCGGGTGCAGTCTGCATCCCCTGCAGGTCACATCTGCCAGGCCTGGGCAGACCTCACCCCAGCCCCCAGCATGTGTTTACATCAGCATCACCAGTCACAAAGGCCACCTGCAAGGCCACACCCTAGCGGCTGCCCTGTCACCCCTGAAGGAAAGCATGTTCCTGCTACAGGGGCCCTGCGGACAGCGGCAGGCAGAGCCACTGGGTGGGTTCCGTGGCCAGGCCGTGGCCATAGCTGCCTCAGCAGCCGTCAGGGCCTCTGTCCCCAGTCACAGCCAGCCACCAGCCAGGGCACAGTCCCGGCGCTGGTCCCCAGCGGTCTGGCAGGGACGCTCACTCCCGCTTTGCTCCTGGATGTCTCCTCACCCATCAGCTGCCAAGTCCCTGCCATCAGCACAGGGCCCCTCCTGACCCAGGCCAAGGTCAGGACCCACCTCTAGCTTGTCTCTTGTGGCAGCGACAGCCTGACATCTCCCGGGACCCACCAGAGCGCCCCAGGTCGTGTAAGGTGCAGCGCCATGGAGTTTCTTCCAAGAGGAGGTTCAGTGGTGGTCCTGGCTCCCTGGGCCGGGGCTCCACCCTCCACCTCACAATGGCGACCCCTTGGGGGGCGGGGCCTGCTCCCTGCCCTGTCACCTGGAGGGTCTGTTGAGGCCACTCCCTGTTCCCTGGCCTGGGCCTCTACCCAGCCAGGGCTCTCACATGCCAGGAGGTCAGGCTCTGCTGAGCCGGCTCCAGCCAGCTGCGGCCCACGAGCAGGTGTCTCCAGCTCTAACCACCCCAGGCTCACCCTCTTCTGTGGCGTTTCCCCTGGGGCTCTGGTGAAGACAGCTTCTGATGACCCAGCCCTGCTCTCTGCTGGCCACGCCCTTGGGGACCCAGGACCGTACACAACAGGCCCCAGAGGGCTTGGCTGATGTCAGACCCACACAGGCTGAAGGCGCAGACGCCCCAGCTGTGTGGGCACGGACATTGAGCCCTCCACCTTAGTGTGAGGCGGCATGCCCAGAGGCCAGCCACGAGGAGGAGCTGCTGAGGCTCAGGTCGGGGACTTGGCACTCGAGCAACCCAAGTTCAAGCTCCCACGATCCACAGAAAGGTGGAAGGAGAGAAATCAGACTCTCAGAATTGTCCTCTGACCTCCACAGGGTGCATGGCATGTCTGCCCCACAACATAGATACACATTAACACTTCTCCTTAAATGTGACAGGGCTAGGAAGATGGTTCGGCGGGAAAACACTGGCCGATCCTCAGGAGGATGGGGGTTCAGGGCCCAGCACCCACAAGGGTGCCCACACAGTCCTTAACTCTATTTATTTATTTTGTTTTTCAAGACAGGGTTTCTCCGTATAGTTTTGGTGTCTGTCCTGGATCTCACTTGGTAGCCCAGGCTGGCCTTGAACTCAGAGATCCGCCTGGCTCTGCCTCTCGAGTGCTGGGATTAAAGGTGTGTGCCACAGCTGCCTGGCACGCTAACTTTAATTCTGGGGGTCCAGTGCCCTCTTCTGGCTTCCCTAGGAATGCACACAAAACACCCACAGACATAAAACTGAAGTTTTTAAAAACATCTTAAAAAAAAATTGTGTGTGTGTTGGGGAGGTGGGGCATGACTGGGCGTGGTGGTACACACTTAATCCCAGCACTCAGAAAGCAGAGGCAGGTGGGTACCGGTGAATTCTGGCTAGCTTGGTCTATACAGTGAGCTCCAGGCCAGCCGGCGATACAGTGGGACCCTGTCTTAAAAAGGAAAGTGGGGAGGGACAGGAATATGGCTATACTAAGAGGAAGAAAGTTGCGCAGACGTGAGGGCTTCAATTCCCATTTAATGAACAATCATCTCTACAGATCCAGGGCGCTCAGTGGCCCAGGATAAGCTCCATGCCTGAAGAGGATGGGGGCTCAGGCAGGAGGCAGTCCATGCTCACCTGGGCAATTAACACCACCAAAGCTTATCTAACCTTGTGGGGCAGGGAGAGGGACGCAAGTTCTCACTGTGTAGCCCAGGCTGACTTAGGGAGAGTCCCCTGCCTCAGTATCCTGGGTGAAGTGATGTTAGTGAGGGCTGGCCCTGCACTCCAGCAGAGGCCCATGCGCACCAGCTGCCTGCTGGCTCCACCCCTCGCATCCAGAACAGGGAGCACCAAGCATCCCAGAACATAAGTGCGGAATCCTGCAGGCAGGTTCCTCACAGGGTGCAGCGGGAACCCTTTGGGGCTCCTGCTGCCCAAGCCCTCTAGAGATCTGTACAGGGGCCTGAGCTGGTGAGCGGCCACTCCAACTGCCTGAGGACAGGGCTCCCTTAAACGCTTCTGGCCATGTGCAAGTGCACGCATGTGCTCACACCTGCCTGTGTGTGGCTGAGTTCAGGTGTAAGTGCACGTATGTGCTCACGCCCACGTGTGTGTGTGTGTGTGTGTGTGTGTGTGTGTGTGTGTGTACCTGCATTCAGGTACAAGTGCACGCATGTGCTCACGCCCGCCCGTGTGGCTGTGAGTTCAGGTGTAAGTGCACGCATGTGCTCCCGCCCGTGTGTGTGTGTGTGTGTGTGTGTGTGTGTGTGTGTGTGTGTGTGAGTTCAGGTGTAAGTGCACGCATGTGCTCCTGCCCGCCCGCCCGTGTGTGTGTGTGTGTGTGTGTGTGTGTGTGTGTGTCTGTGTGTGTGTGTCTGTGTGTTCAGGTGTAAGTGCACACATGTGCTCACGCCCGCCCGCCCGCCCGCCCGCCTGCCCGTGTGTGTGTGTGTGTCTGTGTGTGTGTGTGTCTGTGTGTTCAGGTGTAAGTGCACACATGTGCTCACGCCCGCCCGTGTGTGTGGCTGTGTTCGGGGCTGCAGTCTGGAGACACTGAGGTCACAGACTACAGGCACAGGGCTCAGGCCGAGGCCGCAGAGCAGACCTGCAGAGGCACTGCACCAGGGTGGGGTGGGTGCTGAGGCGGCCTGCAGCGAGCCAGTGCGTACAACAACCACAGACCCTCCTACGGGAGGGCAGTGACAGCCCACACACTGCCGCCCTCAGTGTGGCCAGACTGTGTCCTCCACAGCTGTCAGCTCTGCGGTCAGTCTCCCTCCCTGAGCCGATGCAGACTGTCACCTGGTCAGGAGTGGAGGGTGACGGTTCTCGAAGGGCGCACACACCTTGGGGGCTGCAGCCACGCGTTTGGGCCTCAGCTACCTGAGTCCAACTGCTCCCCAGGCGTCACGTCCAGGTGAGGTCTGGGGAGCAGAGCTGGCCTGATGGGCCTGTGCACAAGGCTGGTCCCCGGTCAGGGACGAGCTCCTGCACACAGGTCTCCCACAACCCTACACAGAGCCAGGATGGGACACTTGGGGACCTTTGGCCTCCTGGGGCTCAGCCCGATCTGTGGCCCTGCATCTCAGAAGTCAGGGTAAGGGAGCTATGACCCCACACAAAGCCAGGGCTCCTCCTTCCTCCTGAAAGAAGCCCCTGGGGATGGACCGAAGACGGTGCACGCAGGACTCACCCAGGCGAAGCTCTCCGAAGTTCCCACAGCCTATCTTCTTGCCGACCCGGAAGTTGGGGCCCACCATCAGGACCCCCGAGCTGGTCCCCGAGCTGCGGACGCCGTGGTTGCTCCGGCTCGTGCCCGTCTTGGACATTCTCCGGCCCTCCTCCGACTCCCCCTTCCCTCCTTTCTTGTCAAAATCCATAAGTTTGTGGTACCCTGGCCTCTCCACGGTGACTCTGCCGTGAGATCCGAGTGCGAAAGCTGAGCTCGCGCTCGGCCTAGTACACCATGGCGTCTGGTGGCCCTCGGCCCCCAGCTACTGAGACCTGGGCGCACTCACAGGCCCGGCCGCGGTGCTCATCTTGGTGGCCTCAGGGTCGCTTGCAGGGAGAGAAGACATTCTGCCAACAGGTCCCACCGCCTTAAATCTCGTGATGCCCAGCTGTGAAGAAACAGAGGCACAGGTTGGCGGGCACCGGACAACGCACGCCCAGCTGGGCTGCTCCCCAACAACCTCTGAAGGTGGGAGCAAGATCTCTCCCGGGAGGGACATCTGACCCTGGAGAGGTCAGAGGTCACACCAGAGGCTACTGTGGAGTGGACATGTGCTCTACTTGCCACGTGACCACGCCCAGGCCCCCGGGAGAAGTAAAGGAAGAAAGGGCTGACCACAGGCCAGGCTAAGAGGTGACCACGGGCCCGACCACATCAGGGGCTGCCAAGACAAGGAGGGGCGGACGGCGGAGCAGAGGGGGCCTCTGTGGAGACGGGAGCCACGCCTGACCTAAGTGGGCAGGTCAAGGGACTCCAGCCATGCAGGCAGCCAGGGCAGGAAGGCAAATGGCACGCAGCGCTGGGTGAACAGCAGGTGCTGGCCCTCGGCGCTCACCTGCACCTCTCAGCCCCAAGGCCCTGGCTGTCTCTCCAGGCTGCCAGGCCAGCCAGCCAGGAGGGAGGGAGGGCTTGGCCAGCTTCAGAAGTACGGCGGATGGCACTCCCTCCTGGGCACAGAGGTCCAGGCAGAGGGATGGACAGGGAGGAGGCTTGGAGCATGCGGAGCCCAAGCTGACTGGAGTTGTCCAGGCTCCGCCAAACCTCGGCAGGGGCAGGGGCTCTAAGAAGGGGGTCTGGGCTCGGTGGCACCTGCTACAGCTGCCCACGCCCAGGACAGTCCAAGTGTCACACAGTGCAGGGTCTCATGAAAGCTAGGCCTAGGACACAGCCCGATCCCCGGAAGGTGGCGGAAGCTTGGGTGCTGGAAGCCGTGGCAGGCCTCGCGCCCGCCTTCTATGGCCCGCAGGAACCCGGAATGCCGGCTGCGGCTGCTCCCTACAGCAGTTTGACTCAAGCCCCACCCTGGCACCGGGACCTGCCGTCCAGCTGTGTCGACGCATGCTCTTACATGCACTCTGGGGTCGGG